GAATTACAGGCATGCGCTACCATGCCCGACTGATGTTTTGATTTACTGTAGATGAGGTCTCGCTGCCCAGGTGGGTCTCGAACCCGCGGGCTCAGGCAGTCCACTCACCTCAGCCTCCCAAAGGCGCGGGATTACAGGCTGAGCCACCGAGCCCGGCTAATTTTTTCTTTTACTACCGATCACAGTACCAAGTATTTCGATTTGAATTTAGGTAATTTTTTTTATTTATTCATTTTTAATTTACTCATCAAGCAAATATTTTTTGAGTACCTACTATATGCCTAGCACTGTTAAAGGTGTGTGGGAGGGGTATAAAAATAAGATCCTTTCCTTCATGAAGCTAACATTCCAGTAGGAAAGACAGAGAGTAAATACCTAAGTTACTTTGAAGAAAATGAATGCAGGTTCAAGAGATAGAAAATGGCAAGAAAGAGGAAGGAGGAACATGTCTAAAGAGATGACATTTGCAGGAGACAGGCATTAAGTGAGGGATGAACTTTGGGTAGATCTGAGTGAGGAGTGTTTTCCAAGCAGAGGTAACGGTGCAGGTGGTGGGCGAGGAAGGAGGAAGAGAGTGACCAGGAGACTGGAAGGGAGTGAGCAAGGGGAGCTAGCTCATCAGAGACAAAGGAGGAATGGTGAGCAGGGATGTCTTGCAGGGCTCGGTGGGCTACAGCGAGGTCCTGCCTCCATTCGCCATCCAGGTGGGACAGGAAGCAGGTGGTCTTAGACTAAGCAGAGGGCCACGTGATCTTCATTTTCACTGCTGTGTGGCTGTGTGGATTAACTTGCGACCCAAGAATGGTCATGCAAAAGTCTTAGAGAAAGCATTGCGTGGTAAATAACAACTTTCTAGCTTAGACAAGCCTAATTTGTGAAGTTATTATTCAGATACATTCAATACCCTTTCTGTATTTTTTCTCATTTATGAGTCAATTGAAAGTGGAAAATGATCCTGTGCGCCTCCTACAGACAGAAGGTAACATGTGCATTTTTGGTGACCTGGTGGCTAAGCCTTAAGGGCTGTTAGGGAAAACATTCATGAAGAATAGAACTTCTATTCTTTTAAATTTAAAATAGAGGAAACAAATGTGAAATGCCACAGGTAAACATTTTCGCCAATATACTTTAGGTTCTTTTTAGCTTTGGTTATTACAAATAGTCCTTTTAAATTTTATTTATATATTTAGCCACAGAAGCATTATTTTATGTTGTATCTATTGGAAATATGCTAGGAGTAATTTAAATGACTAGGAAAGTTTAGAACTATTTATTTTATGTCTACTTTCTATATAAGTTCTGGTAATTTAAACTTGATTGTCACATTATGTGTCATTGCAGATAAATAATTTGTAAACATTATATATAATGCTTTTAAAAATTTTATCCCATGAAGTTCCAGAAGTGATTATATTTCAGTTTAGACCTCCTGGACATTGCAGACTCAACTTGTTTGTTTTTTTTTGTTGTTGTTGTTTTGTTTTGTTTCAGTTAGAGTCTTACTCCGTTGCCCAGGCTGGAGTGCAGTGGCACACTCACAGCCACCCCAGCGTCAACCTGCTGGGCTTTGGCAATCCTTCCTCCTCAGCCTTCCAAGTAGACGGAACTACAGGCACACTCTAACCACATCCAGCTAATTTTTTTAATTGATTGCAGCGATGAAGTCTCACCAAGTTACCCAGGCTGGTTGCAAACTGGCGAGCTCAGGCAATCCACTCAACCTCGGCCTCCCAAAGTGCTGAGATTACAGACTGAGCCACTGAGAACTTGTATTCTTAAGACATATCTTGATAAAGTTTTGTTAACTATAAAGTATAGCCATCTCATCAGCTTTTATGTTTAAAAGGACATTTGTCTAGCGGTAAATCCCACATTGATTTAGAATGGTTGAAGAATGAAATATTCTAGGTAAAGCTGATTTTTTTTTTTTTCGGATAACAAAAATTATTAGTCAAAGGATTTTTGTGTGTACAGTTGATAAAGAACTAGAAATCATATCCATGACCAGATGTGTTTCAGACTGTGGTTCCGGGTGTCTGAGTCTGTAGGGGAAATGGAACTGGGCGGATGGCCTCTGGGTACCTTGTGCCAGATTCAGTCCTTGTTTTTTGATCTGAAAGGAAAGCCATGGTTGGATAATAAGATTTCTAAAATACACTGCCTGTCATGTACAGACTATTCGAAAATTGATTATTCTAGATTTATTCAGAAGGTACTTTCTAGATTTCTTTTTTTTTTTTGGTCTGCTTTTTTATGGGTGACTGAGTAAAACTTGTTAGTTAAGTATTCTGATTATTTGAACAGAAGTGAGCCAGAGGCCTTTTCTAGCTAGAACATTTATTTTGGAATATTAAGTTAACAATGCAGTTTTTTTTTTTTTTTTAATCAGCGAGGTCTCACGGTTTGTGAGTGTCATGCTGCCATAACTCCTAGGAACAGCACAATGAACTCTAGCAACTGAACGTTTTTATAGCCGATGACTTCACTAGGACCTGTCTAGACGGCAGCTACTCTCTAACGTCATAGCGTGTTAGGGCTGGAATTGATCTAACAAAGATACTGTAGCTTAGATGACCTACTTGTTTTGTTTGCCATAGTTGTAGCCATGGTTTTGAGGTTTAAGGGACAGTGAGACCAACGACTTCAGCGTGGAAAGTGGGAAACTGATAGCTATAAATATGAAAGACCTAACCCTGGTTTTGGATGCAATTATAAACACACAAAAGTGTTCTCTTCTGGAAATAGCTGCAAATTTTAAAAGAATTTGATGTCTGGTCGGTCATGTTTGTCAAAATGGGAGCGACTCCTGGAGGTTGTACCTAGAGAAAGCAATTGCAGTCGATAAATTTGTAACCCTTTGGATCGACTGTCCCTGGCAGAGTAATGCTAGCTTAAGAAAATACTTGTGTTACATTTTTTGCTAATGAAATCCGTATGCCGTCAGTTACTTGTCTGTGGGATTTGGAATGGATCTACATGGTTTCCCAGCCTTCAGCATTTTTGTCAAGTCATCAAAACAATTAGTCAAATAGAAAACTGATTAACTTTTTTTTTTTTGAGTTGGGAGTCTCACTCTGTCGCCCAGGCTGGAGTGCGACAGCATGCTCACGGCCACTGCAGCCTCAACCTGTTGGGCTCAGGTGATCCTTCCGCTTCAACTTTCCAATTAACTGGAAATACAGACACGCGCCACCATGCCTGTGAATTTTTTTGATTTATTGTAGAGATGAGGTCTCGCCATGTTGCCTAGGTTAGTCTTGAGCCTGTGGGCTCAGGTAGTCCTCTTGCCTCCACCTCCTAAAGTGCTAGGATTACAGGCTTGAGCCACTGCGCCCAGTTTTTTTTTGGATTGACTTTTTTTTTTTCTTTTTTTGAGTCCATCTCCGAAGCTGGAGTGCAGTGGCATGCTCACGGCCACCTCAGCGTTGACCTGCTGGGCTCAGGCGATCCTTCCCCCCTCAGCCTTCCAAGTAGCCAAAACTACAGGCATGCACTACCACACCCAGCGCTCTCTCTCTCTCTCTCTCTCTTTCTCTCTCTCTCTCTATATATAATTTTTTTTTAAGTGTATATTATAGAGACAAGGTCTCACCAAGTTACCCAGGTTGGTCTTGAACCACTGGGCTCAGGCAGTCCTCTTGCCTCAGCCCCTCAAAGTGTTTGGATTACAGGCGTGAGCCACCATGCCCAGCTTTGATTGACTTTTTTTTTTAGTTGGAGTCTCACTCTGTCACCCAGGCTGGAGTGCAGTAGCATACTGACAGCCACCGCAGCCTCAACCTACTGGGCTCAGGCGATCCTTCTGCCTCAGCCTTCCAAGTAGCTGGAACTACAAGCACGTGCCACTGTTCCCGGCTAATTTTTTTGTTGTATTATAGAGATGAGGTCTCACCAAGTTGCCCAGGCTGGTCTCGAACCTTTGGGCTTAGGAGTCCCCTCACCTCAGCCTCCCAAAGTGCTGGGATTATAGGCATGAGCCACCGTGCTTGACTCTTTTTTTTTTTAATCAGGATTTACTGAGAGGACAGAAAACTCCCACAATGGGAGAGGCCCTGAAGGGGTTGCCCTGATCGAGTTTTTTGTTTTGTTTTGTTTTGGGGTTTTTTTGTTTGTTTTTTTTTTTGAGTTGGAGTCTCACTCTGTCGCCCAGACTGGAGTGCAGTGGCCGCTCCCGGCCACCGCAGGCCTCAACCTGCTGGGCTCTGGCGATCCTTCCGCCTCAGCCTTCCAAGTAACTGGAATTAAAGGCATGCGCTACCACGCCCGGCTGATTTTCTTATTTATTGTAGAGATGAGGTCTCGCTGCCTAGGCGGGTCTCGAACCCGTGGGCTCAGACAGTCCACTCATCTCAATCTCCCAAAGGCTTGGGATTACAGGCTGAGCCACCGAGCCCCTCTCTGATTGAGTTTTTTAAACAAACTTTTTAACTGGTTGTTTTACTTTCCTGGCTCTTGACATAAAACTGCCAGACGTAATTTTTTTTTTTTTTAATAGAGATGAGGTCTCACCAAATTCCCCAGGCTGGTCTCAAACTCCTGGGCTCAAGTAGTCCTCTCACCTCAGCCTCCCAAAGTCCTGGGATTATAAGTGAGAGCCATCACACCCAGCCCAGATATTTTTTCTTTGATTGATTTAGATTTGGTCTGAGAACCTGGGATAGAAATAGCGTTGTATCTGAGAAAGTATCTTGAGAGACCTTTCTATGATCTGGATGTTTAAACAATCGCATGGGTGGGACCATTGCAATGGTAAGTGTGCTGAGGTCAAATGGTAATTGCGCTTCCCATGGACTGTGTGAATGTGAGAAAGTGACTTCCGTCTGTAAGACTTCAGGGAAAGAACACTAATGATTTCCTGATGATTTTGACTTACTGAGAATAAGTATAAAGTGCTTTGTATTTGATGAAAAGTTTTCATGTGAAGTATACTCTGTTCCATGCCTTGTGACTATGAGTGTGACTATGACCCTTGCCTCCCCCCTCTGACTGTCCTACTTCAGGAAGCTGCCCTGTGTCGACAGCTGCCCATGGAAGCTGAGACTCTGGCCCCGGTTCAGGCTGCTGTCAACCCGCCCGCCATGACCCCAGACATGAGATCCATCACTAATAATAGCTCAGATCCTTTTCTCAATGGGTAAGTTCATCTTGGAGGCCACTTATTTTTGCTGTCTGTATGATGTGATCTGGACCGTAACGGGGTCTTTATTTACTTTGGGAAAAGATGGGTGAGACGGGCGAAGTAGGAGGAGCTGGCAGAAAAAAGAAAAGAAGTCATTTCCTATTTTGAAATTCTCAAATTTAAAAATCGGTGCTATTACACGGAGTAGACCCCTAGTCAATAATTTGAAAATGAGGGCCAGTGTGGTGGCTCACACCTGTAATCCCAGCAATTTGAGAGGACAAGGAAGAGGATCATTTGAGGCCAGGAGTTAGAGGCCTCAAATGATAACATAGTGAGACCTCGTCTCTATTTACAAAAGTAATAATAATTTTAAAATTTGAAAATAGGGATGAATTTATCATTTAAACACGATGGTGTTGTCTAGTAATAATATTTGCAGTAATCTTGTGGTTTTATGTAACCAAAAATGGGATAAAAGCATGGCACATAAATAGAGAAAAAAAACAATAATTAAGAGATGATGTTTACAGTGAAATGTAAATAAGGTCTGTAGTTTAGTTATAGTATTCTACAATGTCAGTTTCCTGGTTTTGGTCATTGCACTATGGTTATGTAAGATGTTTTCACTGGGGAAACTGGTGGAAGGGCACATAGGAACTCTCTGTCCCCTTTTTGCATCTTCTATGTGAGTATAAAGTCATTTCACAATTTAAAAATTAATTAAAACAAAGAGGTCATGTTTAAAAAAATAATAAAACATAGGAGCAGGCTGGGCTTGATGGCTCATGCTTGTAATCCCAGCCCTTTGGGAGGCCAAGGCAGGAGGACTGCTTGAGCTCTGGAGTTTGAGATCAGAATGGGCAACATAGCGAGACCCTGGCTCTATACAAAATTTTAAAAAATTAGCCAGTTGTGGTGGCACATGCCTGCAGTCCTAACTACTTGGGAGGCTGAGGCAGAAGGACAGCCTGAGCCTAGGAGGTCAAGACTGTGTTGAGCTGTGATCGTGCCACTGAACTCCAGCCTGAGCAATAGAGTGACACCCCAACTCAAAAAAAAAAAAAAAAAAAAAAAAAAGGAGCAGAAAGGGAACGATAACTTAGCCAGAAATATCTTCAGAGTAGAAGTAGTCCACCTGGATTGCGCTTTTCAAGCCCCCAATAAAGGACAGTACTCTGTGTTTTTTCTTCTGCCCTTGAAGAGACTTCTGGCAAACAAATGAATACAATTATGACTATTATTAAAGAGAAAGAGAGATGAAAACAAGCAGTAACTGAAATAATAAAGGAATTGGAGTTTTTAGGCTGTTGGTTTTAAAGTATAGAAAAACATAAAGAGTAACATAAGAGTTACTCATGTATCTCCTCCATCCATATTTTTTTCATAAGTAAAATACTACAATTAATATTTTAACCCATCCCTACCACCACTGGATTCTCATTTGTTTTCCTTTCTTCTGTTCCGAGTGGATGTCACTATTCAGAAACTGTTGCGTGACCATCACACCGATTTTTATACTTCGTGACCATCACACCGATTTTTATACTTCTTATTGCTTCTCAGTATGTGTTTTTATAAGCAATATTTAACATGGTTTTCTGTTTGTTTGAATCAGGGTCTCACTCTGTCATAGGCTGGAGTGCACTGGTATGATCACCACTCACCATAGCCTCAACCTCCTTTACTTAGGTGATCCTTCCTCCTCAGCCTCCTGAGTAGCTGGGACTACAGGCACATGCCACCATGCCCAGTTAATTTTTTGTAGAGATGAGGTCTTGCTATGTTGCCCAGACTGGGCTTGAACTTCTGGGCTCAAGCAGTCCTCCTGCATTGGTCTCCCAAAAGTGCTGGGATTATAGGCGTGAGCCACCATGCTTGGCCTGCTTCTGGTTTTTAAAAATGTTATACAAATTGTATAATATGCTATATGTGTTTTGTTTGTTTTGAGTCGGAGTCTCACTCTGTTGCCCAGGCTGGAGTGCAGTGGCATGCTGACGGTAACTGCAGTCTCGACATACTGGGCTCAGGCGATCCTTTTGCCTCAGCCTTCCAAGTAGCTGGAACTACAGGCATGTGCCACTGTGCCCGGCTAATTTTTTGATTTATTGTAGAGATGAGGTCTCGCCAAGTTACCCAGGCCGAATTTGAACCTGTGGACTCAGGCAATCCTCTCACCTCGGCCTCCCAAAGTGCTAGAATTATAGGCATGAACCACCGTACCCAGCCTTCATATGCTATATGTAGAACAGTGTTCAAATGGTTATTTTGAGGTGAAAAGGAAATCAGTGTCAATTTACTGTGAATGGCCAGTTTTATTTGCTTACAATGTATTAACCTCATTGACATTAGGATGTCTATTTCAACATAAAGGGATGCTGAGTCTGCTTCCGTTCATTACCTTGAGTTTGTGTGGCACGACAGAACTACGCTAGTTTAGAGTTTTTGTGGCTGTATTTTATGTTGCAGTTTATTTCATGGTCTCACATAGAAGTTTCTCCATTTTTCACTCTGCAGAGGACCGTACCATTCAAGGGAGCAGAGCACTGACAGTGGCCTGGGGTTAGGATGCTACAGTGTCCCCACAACTCCAGAGGACTTTCTCAGTAACGTGGACGAGATGGACACAGGTAGGAGCAGAGCCTGAGGGCACTTGCAAATTTACATTTTAAAATTGTCTCTTTGGTCACCTGAATTTTATTTATTTTAATCATTTATTTATTTATTTATTTTGAGTCGAGGTCTCACTCTGTCATCCAAGCTGGAGTGCAGTGACACGCTCATGGCATCACAGCGTTGACACCTGCTGGGCTCGGGTGATCCTTCCACCTCAGCCTGCCAAGTTGCTGGAACTACAGGCACGCGCCACCACGCCTGGCTACTTTTAAAATTTTATTTATTGTAGAGACAAGGTCTTGTCAAGTTGCCCAGGCTGGTCTTGAACCCCTGGGCTCAGGCAATCTCCTCGCCTCAGCCTCCCAAGGTACTGGGATCATAGGTGTGAGTCATTGGTGGACCCATCTGTCATTTGAATTTTAAAATCCAGTCAGAAACACTTGATTTTAGCAAACATGTAAAATGACAACTGAAAAGCCACCCAGACACCAGGCACTGTGAACAAACTCTAGCCACTTCTCCATAGATTATACAAACATAATTTTACAACTGGGCACAGACTTTTTATTTCTTTTCTTTTTTTTTTTGAGTTGGAGTCTCACTCTGTCACCCAGACTGGAGTGCAGTGGCCGCTCCCGGCCACCGCAGCCTCGACCTGCTGGGCTCTGGCGATCCTTCTGCCTCAGCCTTCCAAGTAGTGGAACTACAGGTGCGCGCTACCATGCCCAGATGATTTTTGATTTACTGTAGAGATGAGGTCTCACCAAGTTGCCCAGGTGGGTCTAGAACCTGCGGGCTCAGGCAATTCACTCACCTCAGCCTCCCAAAGGCGCGGGATGACAGACTGAGCCTCCGAACCCGGCTTATTTATTTTCTTACTCATCCTTACTTCATCTTCATGCATTCCCTTCCTCACATTCCATAAAGACACCCCTGTCCACTTGCCACTATTCCACAGTGGATGTTTGTGCTGCTCTACTTTTCTTTGTTTTTTTCATTTTCTTTTTTGAGTTGGAGTCTCACTCTGTCGCTCAGGCTGGAGTGCATGCTCATAGCCACTGCACCCTTGACCTGCTGGGCTCAGGCGATCCTTCCAAGTAGCTGGAATTATAGGCACGCACCACCACGCCTGGCTAATTTTTTGACTTATTGTAGAGATGAGGTCTCCCCAAGTTGCCCAGGCTGGTCTCGAACCCGTGGGCTCAGGCAGTCCTCTCACCTCAGACTCCCAAAGTGCTGGGATTATAGGCATGAACCACTGTGCCTGGCCTGCTCTAATTTTCAATGGTGATGTGTGGGCCATTTTTCTCCTGGGAAGTGATCCTGGTTTATAGTTTCAGCAGCATGCAAATGGCCTCCTGCCATTCACTGCATTTGGGATGCAACTGGTCTTGGGCATTTGGAGAGTTAAGCAACCTAGGGAGTTCTAAATTGTCAGCTCTAGGTTCTAGCAGGTTATTGATATCCTTCTTCAGGAATTAGGTGACTTTTGCCTAGTCCCAGCCTGTGCATCCTTCAGGCCAGGCCTCAGCAGGCCTTCCAATGACCTCTCTTTCTCTTCTGTTCTCAGGAGTAAGTCCTCCAATTGCAAAATCCAAATTTAGTCTTATCAGCCTTATCTAGACTTAACTGTGAAAAAAGTCTCCCAGAAGGTATTCTAGAACCAGCAATAAATGACAGCTGAGGTGTCCATTATTTGGAATTTTTTAGGAAAGTTTCTCCTCCCTCATTATTGACAATAGGAAATTGTTTTGTCTGGGTACAGTGGCTCATACCTGTAATTCCAGCACTTTGGGAGGCCGAGGTGGGAGAATTGCTTGAGCCCAGGAGTTTGAGACCAGCCTGGGCAACATAGTGAGACCTTAGCTCTACAAAAAAAAATACCATAATTAGCTGGGCATGGTGGCATGTGCCTGTAATCCCAGCTACTTGGGAAGCTGAAGTGGAAGGATCACTTGAGCTCAGGAGGTTGAGGCTGCAGTGAACCAGGATTGCGCCACGGCACTCAAGACTGAGACCCTGTCAAGAGTGAGAGCCTGTCTCAAAAAGAAAATTAATTCTTCTATGATTAAAATAAAACTTCCTTTTCCCCAATCATTTCTCCATCACGCCTGCTTTTTGCACTGTGCTCCCAGATGACTCCTCTTTGCATTGTGAATATAAATTGTTAAGACCAAGAGTCATACTCACAGCCAGGCGTCTTCCGAGCATAGAACATCCAAGAAGTTCCTCCAGGATCTTATTGTAGGCCACCATCTTTGTGTTGAGGAGTTTGTACAGACTGTCTTGTGAGGAGCCACCCAAGAACAGTTTTAGCTATTTATTCTGCTGTTCTTCTGTTTTTCACTCCAGTTTCCTACTCCCACTTCCCCTTCATCTCTCTGTTTTTTGGGGTGAGATTTATTTTGCTCTCTTTGGAACAGCTTAGTAAGTGGCTTCTTCTATGTTTAATAGTTGTTTATGTACATCTTTTACACACTGGGAAACCAGTAAGTGTAGAAAGGAAAATTAAATTAGAAAGAAAGCTCATGGGACATGGGCATATATTCTCAAGGGAGTATAGTTCTACAGTAACAAGATGAGGAAAAATCAGCGGGGTAGGGGGTGCAGAGCTCAGGTGTAGAACATCCAGAAAGCTCTGTCTAGAAAGATCTATGAGGCCTGCTGGCCACACACAGGCCACATGCTGAATGGGAAGGAGCCAGCCGAGCACTCTCCTTGCAAACGCACACACAGAAGCAGCTGGACTTGGTGCGAGGATAGAGCATGACCATGAGCAAAGGCTGAAAAGTCATCTATCCTTCCAGAATATTCTCCCGCCATCACACTCTTTTATAAATTGCTCGCCTTTTGTCTCTTTCACTTTTTAAGTGGATAAAACTGTAAAGCGCAAAAAAGTGTACTATGAGTTAGCAGAGTTGCTTCAAAGAGATGTTTTAAAATCGTTAACCTTCTAAAGCTTGACTAGTCTCGCAAGCTTTCCACGCCTAAGGAGAAGGGATAAGAGGAATTCGTTAAGAGATTTTACTTGGCTGAAAAATGTACTCTTGAGTGTTAAAAGGTTAACATGGGAAATCAGTAAAAATGCATGATTCTAATGGAGATGAAAAAAGATATCAAGCATGTTCAATCAGATTGTTTTTTAAGACAGATAATTTTTAAAGCCTCATTTTTATCTTTTACACTCTAGTGGGTAGAAAGAAATTATTTTGGACTTTGTATTTTGATGTTATTTTTCAAAATCAGTAACACTATATTGAGGTCATGTTGTTAAGACTGGTTTGATCCTTCAAATTAGTGTCCTTTGCAAGGAAAATCCTATAAAATGTTTCCCAAGAGACATTGATATTTTGTGACTTTTAGAAAAGTCAGTATGCTGTGTTGTCACCAAAATGCAAGTCTGATTATGTCTCCTTCATCACTTGGAAAGATGTAATTTTTTACTTGGAAAACATAAATGGTTAAAATGAATGTTCCGCAGGTTTGCTCAGAATAGTGCAATTTGTATGCACACTCTTCAGGAAGGCACTTGTCAGACACAAAAAGCTAATTTAGCAAGTTTCTTCAAAATGACGTTATGGTGAAAGCTGGCCTAGGTTGTCAGTGCTTCTTAATCTTGAGGTTGACATTATCCCTTCAGAAAATTACTTGTTTGGAGCTGGTTGAATTAGCCAGTTGTGTTGATACTATGTAATGAATAGTGGTTGAGTCCCTAGGTTTTTCTTTTTGTTAACATAATCAATAAACACATATTATATTTTTGTATGACTGTAACTTTGGATGGATGGATGACACCTGGAGACATCGATACGTGGCAGACACTGTATGACACTTGACTCCAATTTGTGAAGGAGGTACTAGAATCCCAATTTCCAGATGGATAAACTGAGAGTCAGACAAGTTAAAATGTGTCTAAGATTACACAGCTAAAAAGCTCATTCTAATGACATATGCATTATCTCCTATACTATTACATATTTAAAAAAATACATTCTTCAAATCCTATCCCAGAAACTGAAGTTTCTTAACTGTGTTCTGCAAACTCAAGTTCTGTTAGGATACATACTCTCCAAAATAGGATTAGGAGGTTAAATAGGTTTAGGAAATAGTGGCTTAGACAAAATAAAACATTTCTTTACTGCAAGACTTAATTTTTTTTTTTTTTTTTTTGAGTAGGAGTCTCACTCTGTTGCCCAGACTGCAGTGCAGTTGCACACTCATGACCACTGCAGCTTCGACCTGCTGGGCTCAGGTGGTCCTTTCACCTCAGCCTTCCAAGTAGCTAAAACTACAGACACGCGCCATCATGCCTTTCTAATTTTAAAAATTTTATTGCAGAGATTCGGTCTGGCCAAGTTGTTCAGGCTGGTCTTGAACTCATGAACTCAAGCAATCCTCTCACCTCGGCCTCCCAAAGTGCTGGGATTATAGGTGTGAGCTACCGCACCCAGCCTGACTTAAAACTTTAATATGCTCATGTGTGTTGTGACTCACATGCCTGTGAGAACGGTAGATAGTTGGGTGTATGTATTGTGGAAAGAGGGAGCAAGTTTGCATAGCTCACTTAAAAAATGATGCCTGGCTGGGTGCAGTGGCTCATGCCTGTAATTCTAGCACTTTGGGAGGCCTAGGCAGGAGGATTAGTTGAGCCCAGGAATTTGAGACCAGCCTGGGCAACGTAGCAAGACTTTATCTCTACACCAAATTTTTAAAATGAGCCAGGTATGGTGGCACACACCTGTAGTCTCACCTACTTGAGAGACTGAGGTGGGAAGATTACTTGATCCCAGGAGGTTGAGGCTGCAGTGAACTATCATCATGTCACTGCACTCCAGCCTGGGTGACAGAGTGAGACCTTGTCTTAAAAAAAAAAAAAAATGCCTAAAGCCATCGATGAAGACAGCTTTTTAATTACATAGTTAAAAGAAACTCCACACTCCTATCTTTGAACGTAAGAAAGGGTGGTATGGGAAAATAAAAGTTTACAATGAAATCTGTAGATTATAGCTCTGTAATAAGGTGTAATAAGCTGTGTAACCTTAGGCACATTTAACCTCAGGCAGAGCCTCTCTACTCTTCTGCAAAACAACTCTTCATGCCCCTGTCGTAGAGAAGGCACAGATCGCAGATACCATGCACAATGCCTTTCACGTGTTCCTTTTGTACCAGGACTTTTCCCATTCCGAACCATGTCTACCCAGAAACAGCTTAGGAGTTCCCTGGCATCTCTGCACCTCCTATCAGTGAGGGTCTGTGGTAGCTGAAGACAGGAGGATGAGGGTTATGTTAATGCTTGAACTGTCCCTCTTTCAAAGGCTTTGAAGAAGGAATGACAACTTTTTTTTCCCACTCTGTTATAGGAGAAAACACAGGACAGACTCCCATGAACATCAATCCCCAGCAGACCCGCTTCCCCGATTTCCTGGACTGTCTTCCGGGAACAAACGTTGACCTAGGAACTTTGGAATCTGAAGATCTGATCCCCCTCTTCAACGACGTCGAGTCTGCTCTGAACAAAAGCGAGCCCTTTCTAACCTGGCTGTAATCTCACCCATTGTGCCTGGGATGCAACTGTGGCCTTACACTTCCTGGGCCTCTTGGAAAAGGCGACGGAGTGGGAGCAGAGCAGGTCTGCAGGCGCACTACTTTCTGCCTCTGTGACTCTTGCTCCTTTCCTGTTGCCAGTTTAATCATTGCCTGGTTTTGATCGACAGTAACTTAAGTTAAACATAAATAAATATTCTGTTTCCATCTTCTGCTAGGCTGCATTCTTGTGACAGATTATGCAGAATTGTGTCTGCAGAACAGTTTATGCAGAATAATTTCCCCCTTTTTCCCCTGCTGCCCCATGACTAAGCTTTATGGGTGTTTGTTGAAGTGTATACGTCCATTGATTATAAACCATAAAAAACTGACCACAGGCAAGTGAATTCTCTGACGGGTGGCTTTGTCCAGGAAATGTGCACAAAATTAGACCTCAGTTACAGTTTCAAAAACTGTACTGGTGATCGTAGTACCAAATGCTTTAAAAAATGATTCAACTTGAGCTTTAAAAAAATCATTGTATGGATAGTAAAATTCTGCTCTATGGAATATGATGTAGTTTTGAATCCATGCTGCCTGTGATGGCTTTTGCTACTCTGTATTTACAAAAGCACACATGTCCTATTGCCATCTGTTTTTCATGTACTGCATGGCATCTAGACAACTTAGCCCTTCCATAGGAAGGCTAGTGGCAGCATTAGTTCTTATGCTACAGATCTTGTGGAAGAGACCCGTGTGGTACCCATTCTGAGCATTTTGTTCAAACAAAACTTTTTTTTTTTCCAAGATGTTTTTGATCCATCAGTGGCAACTGTACTGTGACTGTACCTGGCCAGGCAAAAGTGTACTTTTGTCTTTTCTGAAAACATCAGGACAACACAGATTTCAACCTGATGGCACACGCAATAAGCTGTTGTTGCTTTTTAAATTCTGAAGCCTTGTCAGTTTCGCTTTCAAGATTTCAAGTGTTTAGAATAAGTCTCTCTATGAAACCGTTTGAAGGATGAAGCTGATCTCTGACTGACATGTAAAAAAATCAAATGCCCTCTGAGGGCATATGGTGGAGACAAATGTTTCTGAATTCAGTAAAATCGATTCCTAAGTATATTATCCTAACCCTGTTTGCTACCGTTGGTATAAAAAGGCATGACATATGTATTCAATACCTCTTATGTAACCAAAATCATTTGTTGTTAGCTTTTAAGGACTGAGAGAGCATCGCGTTCACCTGGCATGCGCTCTGCCTGCATTGCCAATGAAGTCCTCAACTGTTTAATATTTTTGAACTGATATTATTTATAATCTATGAATTTAATCTTTTTTTTTTTTGGAAAGACATTAATAATTGAGGTCTCTGGGAGGAAACTTTCCATTTCCTTGGGGGTTTATTTGTGGGGGATCTGGAATAAGAGCCTTTTGAATCTTCCGGAATCTAGATGTACAGAGTACATTGAATCATGCTGGAAAGAAAGCACGTGAAAAGGGCAGCGGTGATAGTCAGGTTAAGGGATAGCGTGGGAAGGATGCTAGTTGTGAAGTGGAAATAGGCACGTTTAGTACCCCAGAAGCAAGACAAGCAGAAGCTGTGAGAGGTGCCCCAAAAGAACAAAACAACAATTTTCTACTACAACCTTCATACCAAAAGACTCTTGTAGGAGAAAAGAAGGCCTTGGTGCACTTTACGGGGAGGAGGGAGACAGGGCACGCGTAGGCAGACAAGAGCCTTGCCTGCTGTGGCTTCCAACACTATGAAGTGGCTTCTTTTTCCTGGAGGCCCCATGGCTTAGGTTCCCCTAATTCCTTTCACTCTCTCGGCCCTCTGAGAGAGATAAGGGTAGATGTTTTTTATTGCTACTAAATTGAAGGGAGCACTATCTTTTTCTCTTTTGTTAGCAAAAAATTGCAAAAAGAGTTGTACATTCTTGCTAAAAAAAAAGTAAAAACTTAAAAACAAAAAACAAAAAAAGAAAAAAAAAAAAACAAGGGACCTAACAAAACTCAGCAGTGTTACTGTATTTTTTAAAAAATATTTTTATAGACATCATTTTCAGGTAATTAAATGTAAAAGAAACCGATACCCCTCTTTTTTTTTAAAGTAGTTAAATCATTGATGATTTATATGAACTATGTTTAGAAGTAATTTTCTAGTAAGCTTGTGGCATTAGAAAATACTAGAAGACTTTTTTTTTTAGTTAAATTAGTTGGAACATTTATTAATGAATATAATAAATATTTTTCCAGAATAAAATATGGACCCTGACTATGTGTTTACTAATAGATAAAGCCAGATAAACTTTTTTTTAAAAAGCCATAAAATATGGCCTTTATTAAAGAACACTAAAGTTAGAGCAACTTTCTAATGGCTATTTCCTATTATTGTAAGCGTTAAAATCCCAGCAGAATTCCTAATAAGGTGCTATTTATATTCTATTTCTTATTGCAAAACAACTGCCAGGATAGCTAGTCTTTTTAGTCCTAAATCAATCAATAAATTTTACCATTTCAGTCCAAAATTTTATCATAGGAAATGCATATTAAAAAGAAAAATTGAATCATAATTTCAGAGATCTTTCTTTGAAGGTGTTTTGTTTCCTGAGAAAACACATTTTCTTGAAGTAAATACATTGTCAAATCCTAATTGTCATTCTGTAAAATCTAAGTAATTGTTGGACAGTGTTTCACCATTGTATATAGGGTGTGAAACACCATTTCTTTCACCGATTATGCCATATATAGGAAGAAGGTAAAACAGTAAAAACTTTAGTGTGCCAGGCATGCTGGTTGACACCAGCTTGGTAGAAAAGTTCTCTGGAGTGGGAGAAGTGTTTCTAATTACAACTTGAGTTCTCATGATGTAATTAGAAAGTGATCTCTGAAAATACAACTTTTATGAAAAAAAAATAAGCTGTTAAAAAAAGGAAATTGTAGATTAACTTAATTGGGAAAATGGGCGGTTGACAGAGACCGTTTCCCTAACACACTACATTCTATATGTGCTAGTACTTTAACTTTTTAAAAAATGTACTTCTACATTTTGTAACATGACATATGTCTGTTTATTTTTAATTTAGAATGTTATGCGTACAGAAAATATGCACCCAAATCAATCAGATCAAACCATTTTACCTGGAGTTTGGTACTGGTTTTTACTCTCTGATTCTGTATAAGAAAAATAAATACAATTGAATTTCCACTCGGAGCCTTTGTCTTTTCATTATTTGTCTATGTTCCTTTTACTGAGGGTTTTGGGTGGTACTGAAGAGAGGCTTATGTAACCCTCCTGGCAGACAATGAAAGAAAGACAATTCTGAAGGCAAACAATTTGTTGGCTCACATGCCTGGCCTTCAGCATTCTAAATGTTCTCATTTTCTCTTTATTTGACGTAGCCTCCAAGACGTTAAAAGGAATGTATATATTTTAAAATCACATTGGCCAGTGTAATCCCAGCACTTTGGGAGGCTGAGGCAAGAGAATCACTTGAGCCCAGGAGTTCAAGACCAACCTGGACAACAAATCGATATCTGATGGCTACAAAAAGAAAAAGAAAAATTAGCTGGGTGTGGTGGTGCTTGCCTGTAGTCCCAGCTACTCAGGAGACTGAAGCAGAAGGATCACTTGAGCTCAGGAGTTCGAAGTTGCGGTGAGCCATGATTATGCCACTACATGCCAGCCTGGGTGACAGTGAGACCCCCAACTTAAAAAAGAAAAAATTAAATGTTGGCTAAGGTGTGGGGAAATAATTCAGGTACTTTGTAACCTGCATGAGGCTGGCAACCTGGTCTGTTTTGTTAACTGTTGTATCCCAGTCCCTAGGGCATACAGTGGCTGTCCAGTCCATAGTGGATATCCAGTATATGCTTGTTAAATAAATTAATCGTTTGGCACATGTTTCCCAAGGAAGCAAGTAGTTTCAGAGCAGACACATAGATACGCGGGGCTGCAAAATAGGGAATGCATTTTCTAGACAGTTTAGTTGATTAAACAAATCTGTCACCAATTAGTGGGTGACAAACATTGTAACCAATTACATTTGTTTACTTGATCAATCTAACTGATCGAGCAAACCTGTAATAGGCATTGCGGACATCAGTAAAGTGCTGGGACGTATGCATTTACAGGGTGTCCAAGTTCCTTTCTTCCCTCTCTCCCTCAATCCTTTCCTTCCTTTCTTGTTTGCTTCTTCCTTCCTCCCTCCCTCTCTTCCTTTCTTTCTTTTAGAATTAGGAAGTATTGAAAATTTATGTATTGGTATTTCTCATTAAAAAGTCATAACTAGCTGGGCTCGGTGGCTTGGCCTGTAATCCCACGCCTTTGGGAGGCTGAGGTGAGTGGATTGCCTGAGCCCACGGGTTCGAGACCCTTCCTCAACTCTTTCCTAAAGCTGGTTTTGTGTGTGTGTGTGTGTGTGTGTGTGTGTGTGTGTGTGTGCGCGCGCGAACTCCCTGGACTCAGGCAATCCTCTCACTTCGGCCTCCCAAAGTCCTGGGATTACAGTCTGAGCCGCTGCGCCCAGCCGGATGTTTTTTGAAATAGTTTTCTTAGCCGGGCTTGGTGGCTCAGCCTGTAATCCTGCGCCTTTGGGAGGCTGAGGTGAGTGAATTGCCTGAGCCCGCGGGTTCGAGACCCGCCTGGGCAGCGAGACCTCATCTCTACAATAAATAAAAAAAAAAAAATCAGCCGGGCGTGGTAGCGCATGCCTGTAATTCCGGCTACGTGGAAGGCTGAGGCGGATCGCCGGAGCCCAGCAGGCAGAGGCTGCGGTGGCCGGGAGCGGCCACTGCACTCCAGTCTGGGCGACAGAGTGAGACTCCAACTCAAAAAAAATAAAAAAAATAAAAAGAAATAGTTTTCTTGTAACCTAAAAGTCTGAGTTAAGTCAGCTGTAGCTAGCAGAGATGTGTAAGTTGTGTTTAGTGTAATCCCGCGCCTTTGGGAGGCTGAGGTGAGTGGATTGCCTGAGCCTGTGGGTTCGAGACCCGCCTGGGCAGTGAGACCTCATCTCTACAATAAATCAAAAAATCAGCCGGGCGTGGTAGCGCGCACCTGTAGTTCCGGCTACTTGGAAGGCTGAGGTGGAAGGATCACCGGAGCCCAGCAGGTCGAGGCTGCGGTGGCCCGGAGTGGCCACTGCACTCCAGTCTGGGCGACAGAGTGAGACTCCAACTCAAAAAAAAAAGAAATATGACTATTTGTAGGGGGTCACAGAGTTTTATATGCCCTGAATACCCTTTTCAGCTTGTAAGTCATTAATTAGAACATGTTATTCATTGAGCAAAATAATGCATGCCTCAGTGAAGAACCAGCAGTAGGGTGACAAATTATCCTGGTTTGCCTGGGACCAAGGGCTTTCCCAAGACTCAAGGACTTTCAAGCCAGGAAAAGTTGGGAAGTAAGTATCATGTACGAGAGACCCCAAAACCCTGGGATTTATTTATTAAAAATTGTGTGTTTATTCTTACATGTTTAAACTTCAGTAACATTCAGAGTACTCTCCATTTGATGCAATGCACTTTTTCTACTGCTCACAACAATTTTTGAACTCCACCGATGTGGATGCCTTTTAGTGCTTCTGCTACTTTTTGTTTTATCTCTTTCACATCAGCAGAATGTTTCCCTTTGAGGACTGTTTTCAGCCAGGGAAACCAAAAAAGTCGCTACAAAAAAAAAATGAGATGGGGTGGATAGGGAAGCTGGGCATGGGCTCAAAAACTGCTGAACACTCTATGCAGTGTAGGCAGGTGCTTTGTTATGGTGGAAGAACCAGTCACCTGTTTGCCACAACTTGGGACGTTTCTTCTGCAACGCACCCTCTCACAACAATGCTAGCTGGCACACTGATGTTGATAGGTTCCTAGAACACTTACCTAGCAGGGGAAAGCCTGTACTACAAGGTGCTTGCCCCTCCAAAAGATAATTCCAGGTTTTTTAGGGGTTCCCCCTTGTACTCATTGGCAAGACAGGCTTCACGATTTGTGGAAAATAAAATAAAAAGATGGGTTCCCTGCTGAAATTTATTAAGAATTTCAAGATGGGGGAGGCAGAACATTAAACCAAGCTTAGTGCTCTTCTGAGTGTGGAACCCTGTGTGACTCCTCAGAAACCATGTTGGTCAAGCCAGCTCTGCTCACTGGCTTCTGTTAGTGGTGTTTATGCAAGCAAGAGATTTTGAGTGCTAGGATATTCCTCTGTAAGAATAAGATGAGTCTGAGGTAAGGGCTTTATTTTTTTTAAAGGAAATAATTATATGAACACCAATCTGATAAAATATTAATATTTTCTTTTAAAACAACCTCTCATTAAACTTTTCAGGCAGCTGGCAGTGTTTCTGATAGCTGGAAAGAGTTGGGTGGGTCTGGGGTCCCTGGGCCAAAGGCAGATTTGCTTTCTCCCAAGGATACCAAAGAATACAGAACTCTTTTTTTGAGTTGGAGTCTCACTCTGCTGCCCAGGCTGGAGTGCAGTGGCACACTCACGGCCACTGCAGCCTTGACCTGCTGGGCTCAGGGTAACCCTTCCAAGTAACGAGCTATAGGCACACACCACCACACTCAGCTAATTTTTGATTTATTGTGGAGATGGGGTTTCGCCACGTTGGCCAGGCTGGTCTCAAACCCATGGGCTCAGGCAAACCTCTTACCTCAGGCTCCCAAAGTGCTGGGATTAAAGGCGTGAGTCACTGCGCCTGGCCAGAACTCTTAGGATCCTCTGTGACATTCCCCAGTACGTCAGAGTCACTAATATCAACCATCCAGCAAATAAGTATATAGAGAGAGCCCACTCATTCATTCATTCATTCATTCATTCATTCATTCATTCATTCATTCATCAGTAAGTACTTGCTGAGCTCCTAGTATGTCAAAGGCACTGAATAGGCATGAGAAATACAGAAATGAGGAAGACTCCACCCCAAAGTTTTTTTTTTTTTATTTGTTTATGTTTTGATTTGGAGTCTCACTCTATTGCCCAGGCTGGAATGCAATGGCACAATCACAACTCATCGCAGCCTCGAGCTCCAGGGTCCAAGTGATCCTCCCATCTCAGCCTCCTAAGCAGCTGAGACTACAGGCATGCACCACCATGCCCAGCTTATTTTTCTGATTTTTTTTTTTTTGTAGACATGAGGCCTTGGTAAGTTGCCCAGGCTGGTCTTGAACTCCTGGGCTTGGGCAATCATCTCACCTCAGCCTCCTAAGGTGCTGGGATTGCAGGAGTGAGCCACCGTGCCTGGCCCACCCCATAGTTTATTTAGGTCCATACACTAAGAGACAAAGAATTATGGCAGCTCAGAGCGGGGCAGGAAGAGGAGATGCGAACAGCCTCATATGGGTAGGTCATGATGTCTGAGCCTTATTCATCCAAGTGTTTCCCAGGCATTTCTGGTGAGGGAAACAGAATCTATGAAAGCACAGAATTTTGAAAGAGGAGTGACAAGGAGGCCTATAGCTCTGGAGGGAGCAATGAGGCAAGAGCAGAGACCAGCTGGGCTCAGTGGCTCAGTCTGTAACCCCACGCTTTGGGAGGCTGAGGTGAGTGGATTGCCTGAGCCCGTGGGTTCAAGACCCGCCTGGGCAACTTGGCGAGACCTCATCTCTACAATAAATCAAAAATTAGCCGAGCGTGGTAGCACGTGCCTGTAGTTCCAGCTACTCGGAAGGCTGAGGCGGAAGGATCGCCGGAGCCCAGCAGGTCGAGGCTGCGGTGGCCGGGAGCGGCCACTGCACTCCAGTCTGGGCGACAGAGTGAGACTCCAACTCAAAAAAATAAAATAAAAATAAACAAAAAGAGCAGAGACCAAATTAAACAGATGGGGAGTAATCCTTGAAGGGACTTGTGTGCGCCACTCCAGGGTTGGAATTCATCCCACACAATGGAAGCCACAGGAAGATTCTGAATAATAGAGTGACTTAAAGAAAATAAGCGAGCCGGACACAGAGGCTCGCACTTGTAATCCCCGCACTTTGGGAGGCAGAGGTAAGAGGATTGCCTGAGCCCAGGTGCTCGAGATCAGCCTGGGCAACATGCAAGACCCGCGTCTCAACAATAAATAAAAAAGTTAGCCGGGTGTGGTGGTGCACACCCATAGTTCAGGTGCTCAGAACCATGATCATGCCTCTGCATTCTAGCCTGGGTGACAGAGTGACTCTAACTCAAAAGAAAGAGAGAGAGAGAGAGGGAGGGAGGGAGGAAAGGAA